TTTCGCTTAGGTCTTTTTACAGCCTCCGATGAAGGAGCACTTTTATATGGGGTTAAAGCAACCCCTCTGGGAACTGTAACGACTGTATGGGAAGGAGAGGGTGGAGGAGGCAGCGTGCAGGGCTGGGAGCAGCAGCCTCTGGCCCCACATTGGCAGCAGCAGGTACTTCGGCCTTTGGGCCTTCAGCCTTCCCAAGGGCATGGCCCAGATGCTCATGAACAAACCCACAGCTGATGAGGATGGAAGGAAACCAGGAAAAAAAAAGAGGAGTGGGTCATAATAACCAGGGAACCTGACTCAATGTCCAGGTTGGGGATGAGGATACTAAGGAACAGGCAGGAGGCAGCAGAGCTTTTCAAAGCTGTATCTGAGAACAATTTGTTCATCAGCAGGCAAAGGTGCCAGCCACCTAGAGCAGCCCCTGCTCCTACTAAAACCACAGCCAGTGTATTCCAGGGCTGGAAGATGAGGCCAGAGCCTGCTGAGTGGCCTCAGATGTTGTATTAAACCTCATGGAAAGGTTTTCTGAACAGTTTCCCTCTAGACCTTTTAGCATTAAATTCCACTGTGCTGTTTAATGAAGGAAAACAGTTTTGATAGCCAAAACCAGCAGTATTTGTGCCCGACAGTAGGTGCTGCTCTTAACAGAGGAAAAATCTGTTGCATCTACTAGTGTCACAGGGAACAGGCTTGGAGCTCAAGCATCTCCTTGGTTCTGGGTTTGCCTCAGGAGCTGGTATCAGTGACTACTCTGGGAGAACAACTCACAAGGGAGGAAGAAGACCACGACCTGAGATTTTTAATTTGGATGGAGGTGAGCAAGATAAAAATGGAGAGAACGAGGGCAGTTCCGTTTTCCTTTTTTTCCCCTTTACCCTCCTTTTTTTGTGAAAAGTTCTGGCTGCTTCTGGCCAGGGCTGGAGGGTGAAACCCCCTTCTCTGCAGGGGCAGCTGGATTGGAGGCAGAAGAGCCTTTTTTCCAGCCCCAGCAAAATAACCCATGGCAGCCAGAGCCCTAAGTGATAAAGAGACTAGTCTGAAATAGGGTCACTGCAGGTTTATTTCTCTTTGGCTTACCCAACTCTGTACTCAGTGTTTGGTCTGTTTTCATGCTCCCTTTACTTTTCCTCTCTCCCGAATGGCTCTATTCTACCCTGTCTTCAACAGCTCCCATATTCTTCTATTATTCTGGCCTTTGTGCATTTTTTTCCCCTCTTACCTTGTATGATCCCTCCATGCTCTTTTCCTGGGTGAAGACTTCACATCCTCTCTGCAGCTGATTAGTGGACCAGTAGGAACATGGCTTGAAACCAAAGCAAAGGCCAGAGAGCACATTTTAAATAAGAAGCAGAGAGAGCTGTAAAGAGGTGTGAAAGTTGGAGAGGACCTGTGGAAGTAGGAATTTCCCCTATGGGATTTTAATGGATAAGTAGACGTGGAAGTCAGACTCCTGGCCACTGGCAAGTTATGTAAATTTAGATTTTTTTGTCCATTAGTTATGTGGCTATCCCTTCTCTTGTACAGTAGACAAGTCTGTGTTTTCCGGAACAGTAGGCAGGAGAAGCAATTGTATTTTTGTATTTGTTTCTAACAGCTCTGGCAAGTCCTTTTGGGACAGGGGCTCCCTGCTTGCTGCAGAGCTCCGGGCAGGCTGGGCACAGAGGGAGCTGCTGGTGCCGGTGCTGGACATGGCACTGAGCGCAGCCCCTGCGCCAGGCGTGCAACAAGGAGAGAGCCAACAGCCCCTTGCTGCACCCCGGCCTCCGAGCTGTTATTTAAGGCTCAAATGACTGTCACAAATGCCTGGGAAAAGGGCTGCGTGTGAAATAATGTTTGAAATCTATTTTAAAAAAAAATCTGTAAATGTTCTTTTTATTAGATAGTGGAGCTAATTTATCCTGTATCCCCTACTGTAATGCTTTTTTATATTGAAAGGATTTTTTTTTTTTTGGTAATATAAACCAGAACACAAGCCTGAAGCACTCTTGGCACGTTTTTTTGTGTGCGTTTCTTAAAAAAAAATAAAATAAAAAATAAAAAAAATAAAAAATAAAAGAAAGATATTGTGACAGTGAAGTGAAACGGCTTTAATTTTTCACTATTTGTTTGGTGTTTAAGTACAGTCACTTTCTTACCAGAGGAGAAAGAATAAACTCAGGTACAGCAGCTAAAATGAGGTATAAGCTGAAGTGTATTGTCATCCCATCACCCTCCTGCCCCCCAACCACCCTCCAGGAAAAACCCGAGACCAGAAAGGAGAGGCCAGCTTAGGACAAGAGCCTCTCTCGTCACCAGCTCCAGTTAGTCGGATATTGGTACATCAGCCTAAATAAGGCTCCACAGAGGGCTATGTGAATGTGGAGCTTGTCTTACCCGCAGTGGCGAGGGGTTGGGGCTGCCTCGTGCAGGGAAAGGGCTCGGCCTCAGCCCTGCGCCTGCCTGGGGTGCAGCCATCTGGGGAAACGGGGCTTTCCCCCCTGCACAACACTGTACAAATGCAAGTAGGGAATTCTGTACAAAACTGCTTCCCCAGAGAGATGAGGACAGTCCAAGAGCTTCCCCACAGCTTAACAGATGAGGAAAGCGAGACCGATGGAGATGAAAGGATTTTTCCTCACAGCAGATCAGTACCAGAGCCTAAAGAGGTACCTCAGGCTTTTGATCCCAAATCATGTGCTCAGCTACCACCTGCAGCTGCAAGCCCAACCTTTCTGTCCTGTGGAATGCTCCCCATCCATCGTGGTGGAGTAAGGACAGACCCACAGCTGTTTGCTGGCAGTGCTGCCTTAGCTCCAGCCTCGAGTAGCTTTAAGAAGTCCCTCCCAGTCGTCACCTGTGACAAGTTCACCTCCTCCAGCTGGGCTCTGCTGCAGGAGAAACGGGACAAAAGCATTCCTGTAGCAGCTGCCAAACAGGGCATCCATTTGCCCCATCTCACTTTTTCATAAGGGAAGGTCCTTGACACAGCCCCATTGCGTCTCCATATAGGCTATAAAAAGAGTCCTATTATGGCAAGCTGCAGCAACAAACAGGAAAAATAAGAGAACTTTTGCTCTCCTCTTTTGGGGCTAAGTGCTGTTGCACATCAAAGCCCTTGGAAGCCACCCTCAGGCTCTGTTCTGTGTTGGAGCAGAAGACATCAGATAAAAAAATAGCAGTGGCATCAGCTAGAGTTAATTGCCTGTTTTAAGTTTTGCAGAGACAGCTGCTAAGCAAGGGACCAAAAAAGAATCTGATCTCACGTGATTTAAAACACCTTTAAAAAGACTTAACCCCCTATACACCTTAAACACACAAATTTGATTTTACCATTAATGAGTCTTCAGAGAGCTGCTCTCCCATAGTGTGAGAACCTAAGTTTCTCACCTGGAGAGCATTTTCAAGGTACCTAATCAGTCAGCCATCTACAGACTCAAAGTCATGGTGTCAGCCCGAGTGGAAAAAGGCATCATTAAGATGACCTTTCATTTCCTTCTTCTATAAGCCTGTCTTTCAAGGGTTAGTTTTGCTCAGCTTTCCTAGAAAGGGTCTCCTCTGTCCCTCCCACCCCACAACCACCACTTACCAGTCTGAACATGTTTGCCTGACCCCCAAGACACAGACTCAAGCATCACTTACCTATACCAACAACTACGGCTGAAGCGCTGCGATAGAAGCTGTGTGCGACTCTGCCACTGCAGCTGCCCCTGCAGCTGGTGTGGGCAACAAGAGCAAGAGCCACCGACTGCCACCTCCCAGCTCCTTGTGCAGCACAGCTTGCTTTGCTCTGTGCTGTCTCCAGGCTGCACTTGACCATTTCTTGACTCACAGGGAAATATTTCCCTCCTAGAACATGGCTCTTCCACTTGTACAGGTAGGCCCATCTGGTAGATGAATTTCATTTGGTCTCTAACCACATTTTGGATGCATGGAGGCAAGGGTGGAGGCTCTAGTATTTAGCCTGATCCTGATGTTGAACCTTGCCTCTGCACCAGATTCAGTTCTTAAAAAAAAACAAAAATGCAGTATTTCTTGGGTCGTTTTTCCAACCTGACATACATTTTTGCACCAGATTCAGTTCTTAAAAAAAAAATGCAGTATTTTTTGGGTCAAGTGTTTTCCAACCTGACATACATTTTGCATGGCCAACAGGTGCAATGCACACAGTCTTGAATTTATGCAGCTGCTTCAAAATGCCAAGAGCACTAACAAACAACATACAGTAACTACCCCTTAACTATACTAAGATATCTAACAGCAATAGCCCTAGACCCCAATATCATCAGTTGCTTGAGGTCTGTTTTTCACCCAAGCAGTTCTATCCAAGTAGGCATCTTTCTACTGGGATTTTGGGAAATTAGTCTCCTCGAGGACACACTTTGATCCAGCCAACAATAGTGCATGAATAAAAAGGTCCAACTCAACTACACAGGCCTTCAGCTTTTAGTCCCATAGAGAACAAGAATGCAGCCTGCAGCTATGGACAGGAATACTCTGCTATGAAATAGCTAGGAAGTAGGGGAAACCAATGCTGGTAACCCCAGTAAGGTGTTGGGGGAACTGGCCAACAAGCACTAATGTACTTTTAGCCGTTCCTTGATTGATCTTGGAGAAGGTAGTAACGCCTTTGCACATACTACTTACTGGGGATGAAGTAGGAGAATATGAAGTATCTAGGGCTTCAAACTTTGGTCCTTTCTCCCCAAAGTCAAAGGAAGTGTGATGCCTGTGTATCAGCTGAGCTAGAACAGAGCTCCCACATGTGGGACTCATCTCACCAGCTGCTTCACACTACTCCTTTCACACTGCTCCTGCAGGAGTGCTCACACCTGGCTCCCTGTTGCTACCAACAGCAAGTTAGACACATGGCATGCAAGTCAGCTACTGCAAGAGATGTTTAACATCACAGCTACCGTGACTGCTACCACCAAGGAAGCTGCACCTGTAGGAAACAGGGTGAGGTGAAGGGGGACAGGAGCCCAATGTAAAAACTTCATGAAACATCCCAAACAAGGAGATTTCATCATGCTCAGCAGATCATTTTCCCCAATAGCTTCCTCCTCGTCTCTCATATTACAATTAAAAAATGCTCCATTGCTCCCAGTGCTATCCCTGTGGAGGGAGCACATAAGGAGCCTTTCTCTTCTTTTGCCATATCTTCTGCTGAGCTCTGCACAGCAGCCAATGCAAAAATAAATATGGGGTGGCACCTCTGGCAGCAAGGAATGAACAGCTATTCTTTTCATTTGCTATTTCAAATGAAATTATTTCACTGAACTACAACTAATCCTGGCCAACTTCCAGGTACCTGAACAGGTACTTGCTAAAAGAAGAACTTGCTGTAAATGTGAGGATACTCTTAACAGGCAGGTGCAAGACTTACCAAGGGGAGTAGCCGAGTCCTTCACTGGTTGCCTCAACTCCCTTTCTCTTCAGGGATTTGGTTTCAATGTGCTGTCCTGATTTTTGTGCTTTGTTTAAAGGTTTCAGAGCCTGTGATCCCAACAGCCGGTTTCCCTGGGGAAACCAGCTTTTTCCCTGAGCCTGCCAGGCCTGTACACCTCCCTGAGCCTTCCTCACGCTGTTTGCTCGCCTCCTCCAGAAGGGTTTGTGGGGGGACCTGCATGACACAGCTCTCCCCACACATCACCTGGTAATGCCACCAGCACCGGGTTACACGCTGATTCATGCCGGTAAGTGGAAAAGAAGGAAACCACTTTTGAAGAAAAAGGAACTAACAAAACAAAACCAAAAAAAAAAAAAAGAAGATATAATTATAATGCAAAATTACCGACACAAACCCCCCTCCCACCCTTCCCATGATAGAAAGTCCAGGAATTAGACTTTCTTGGGACGGCGTCCAACTTGGTAATAATAATAAATGCTGATGAGGATGAAGAGGGCTCGGCTGACCAGGAGGAGCACAGCACCTGTGGCTATCCGGCTGCTCTCAACCAGGGAGACAGTGGTAACTGGAGGAGAAAGGGAGATAAGGCAAAGGTTGGCGATGAGGAAAAAAAGTAAAAGCCAAATAGTGCATACCTGTTTTCTACCATCCTAACATAGCTTATTCACAAGACCTGCTGAGCCTTGCAAATGCAAGAGCTTTCACTGCAGACCCACCAGTCCCACATTTGGCATATCTGCAAAATGGGCTCCTAACGGCTTGATTTCACAGCTTGAAACTCAACCACAGCTTCATGGTCCACAAAGCTCTCATTTATAGAAGCACTTTATTAAAAACAACTTTCTGCTCAGGCAGCCAACCTGAAACAATAACTCAAACAGATGTGAGTTTCCATCTTGCCCAGGTGTTAATTGGGAAATCCGCAGTTCATAAATCTGCTTTGGGGTTTAACCACTTTAGTTCTTCTATATATATGTATTTTTAAAACATAGAAGCACCTTTAAAATGTGGTTATTTTGCACAGGCTGCCTGTTTTTCCAAACATCTTGCTTTTTTGTTACTAACAGCTATCCCATACCTAAACCAGCTCCCTTTAAACACAATTACTGTTCTGCCAAAACACACATGCAGGCACAAAAACCCCCTTCATGGTTAAACATAAACCAGGCGGAACAATAGAAAAACAAACCCCACAGAAAGAACCTGAACTATTTTCCTCTCTTCTGGTAATACTAACAGTCCCATGAGCAACAGACAGGTAGCAAGGGACACAAGGTGGCCTCAGCGGCTTGCACGGGTTTTGATTCAGTCCCAGCACTCACACGGGGTGTCCTGCCTGTCCCCAACTCCCCCTCTCCCCAGTGAGCGTGGCCTCAGCGTATGGGACATGGCCCAATCCTTTTCTCCTTGCACTGCAGCTATTGCTACGCACCCAGGAACTGCACGGCGAAGTAGCAGGCCTCCGTGAGCAGGGTCCAGCGGATGATGACCTTCTCGGCCGTATACAGGGCGTTCCACATGATGAGCGAGATACCTGCAGTGGGGCAACAGCGCAGAGCTCAGCTGCCTCCGTGGGCCAGGAGGCTGCAGGAGCAGCAGCCTGGCCGCCGCTGCGTTTCCAGCCATCCCCACGAGATGCTGCTGCAGGCTGTGGGAAGGAGCCAGCCTGTCTGCCTATCCATGCTGCCAGCGTGTCCAGCTCAGGCACTGCCACCTGCCCTTGAGCATGGGCATCACTGACCCCAGCAGCCCGCACCCAGAGGGACCAGGATCGGTGTCTAGAAAGCGTGGCCACTGCAGTCTGGCAGTGCTAACAGCAGTGGTGCTCAGGGCAAGACAAGCCCCAAGCATTCAAGGCCCTAGTTCCTTTCCCTTTCCAGGCCATCCCTCTAGGCAGCCCCAAACCTCTCACCTGCCCACTCCTCAGTCCCCACTTTTCCTGCGGCAGAGTAGGAGGCACCTCGCGCTCCGAGCATCTCTGTGCAGGATGTTGCCGTGGCGGCCCCATTCCCTCGTTTCCTAGAGAATCATTCCTAGAGAACCGTTCTCCAGGTCAGGCCCCGTGCCCTGATGCCAGCCTCGCCTCCCATCCCTGCCTCCCATCCCTGCTCCAGCTGGGCAGCCCTGAGGTGCTCCCTCAGGATCGGGCACCCACATGGCACTCACTGAGCAGGGCTCCCCCATAGAGCCGGACGGGCGTCTTGCTGCTCACCGGCTCCTCGTCAAAGACGGCATCATAGAGCTGGTCTGGGAAAGTGAGGGCCTGCGGAGGAAGGCAGAGACTGGCAGCGTGAGCCGGCCACAGCCATGGAGGCTGCCTGTCCTCCGAGCCGCCGGCCGTGCCCCGCGCCTCCCCCTCGCTTACCATGATGGCGACTCCCGAGAACATGACGGCGGAAACCAGCTGCCAAACCCTGTGTGGGAGGGAAGAGAGAGGCCGCAGGGTGAGCTTGGGGTGATCACTAAGTGCTCCCCTCGGCCTGCACAATTACTGGCCTTCCTCCATGTTCCCCATGCTGCTGAGGCAGCCACGGGGCTCCCAGGTCAGGAAGCAGGTCCCCATGGCGGTGCTCAAGGCCACTCGAGGTCTCACCTGAGGCCCAGCGGCTCCCGGACTGCAAACTTGATTTCATTTCCCAGGACTTGACTAATCTGAAATTCAAATAAAAGACAGAAGTTCACTAGACTGGCTGCTCCCCAGCCTTAAGCCTGTGTCCATCAGGCCCAGGGATACCCCCTAACCCCATGTGGGACCTCAGATCTAGGACAGGGGAGAGGAGGATGAGGATAGGGAATTTCTCCATGATCCCATAGTCTTAAAACTTGCCAAAGACTTGTCGCATCAGAAGCCATAGGCTCTGCAGCTCCCTTAATGGGCTCAGCTATGTGCAAGTAGTGCTTGGGGCACACACAGCATTAATTCTGTCCCCTCTTACTTATGTAGTAAGTTGGGAGCAGCCTCCTCCTCGGCATGCACCCTGACACATGGTTCATGTCCCTGACACCGCCACCAAGGCTGGCGGTCATGGACGAACTTCATGGGTTGGGATCTTCTCATGAACCAGGGACACAGGTTTGTATGCAAGAGGAAATCAGTTATCAGGGAGCTTTAATGGACAAGGGGGATGGCTCCAAGGCTGCTCTCAGTGCACTGCTCACAGGTGCCCAGTGCCTGGCTCTCCCTGGAGCAGGCTCAGTGGTTCCTGGCTTCCTGCAGAGCAGCTCAGGGCTGCAACTCCACTCATAACTTTGCCAAAGTGAACCCTCCAGTCATTTTGAAACATTCCCCCCTTACTTTCTTTTTTTAATAGGGTGGATTTTTTTTTCTCAGCTCCAGAAACAATTTCCCTTCTCCTCCCTGAAGACTTCCAGCAGCAATTGGGTCTCTGAGGATTTCCATCAGCTCTAATTTACCACATTGCTACAGAGCACAGACTCCAACAGAGCGCTCTGGATGCCACAGCATCATTTCTACTCTTGCAAGTTCATACTGGCCAAGACTGGTGCCAGCCATAACTATGTGGAAGGGAAGCCTATACATATAAGTGCTTGCCTGACAGGACAGTATCTGGGCTGAGCCAAGCAGCACCTGTAGGGCACAAGTAGAAGGCTCTGATCTGGTTAACTGCACCAAGATCCTCTCCCTGTCCCATATAAGAGCTATCCTTCAGTAGGGACAGAGTGTTCCCATGCTTTATTCCCCTTACTCCATGGGCACACACAGGACTCAAAGCACTGAGGAGGTGCCCTAGGCACACATGGGTGAACATGGGCAGAAGGCAGAGACCAGGCTACATCCCAGACTACCCAGCACCCCCAGGCTCAGCTCTAGGGACACTTGGCACCTTGCACATCATGGAGGTGTCAGGCTTCCCATTGTTCCACCACTCCTGCACTGGCAGAGCCACTTGAGGGAAAAACCGCTGCTAGTGGTCTTTCAAGAAGGCACAACTTGCCTTAGCTGCATCTGTACTGGAAGAGGGCAAATGGAGCAGACACAGAGGAGAGGAGAAAGAGCTGAAGGTGCCTCCTCTGAGGCAAGCAGATGGGGCAACGCTCACAAGCCTCCCCACTCAGCACAGGAAGGAGCAGCAGTTCACCAGGGGCTCCTTTTTTATACCCCTAAAAACCTTCTGCCAAGCAAGCAGCAACTGGAAGCCCTTGCCAAGCCTGTGAGGATGGCAAAGCCCAGCTAGTAGTCTGCAGCAGAAACCTGGCAGCCAGCAAGGAGACACACACACTCTTATTTCCAGCTATAGATAAAGGTACTAAAGGCCCACCCCACCGTGCGTGTGGTCAGACAACAACTACCTTATGAGAGTGCTCCTTGCAGCATATTAAGCGATCTTGAGCAAGGTCTGCATTAGCTCCCCCAAGGCAGGCAGGAGCCAGGCAGTGTTTTGCCAGCAAATTGTGGAGAGCATTCGACTAAGAGCTCCTGAGAAATCTGCCCTTGCTCCCCAGCTCTAGTGTTTTGCTGAAATAGGTTGTGCACTTTTGCTTGCAATCCAGAGCAGCACCACATACTCTTAAATCATTGTTCTAACTTTCTGGGCACCAGTACTGGAGTATGATAAGCAGAATAATTGGTTATACTTCGTTCCTAAGGCACCAACTCCAAGCTATCTACTGGGTGTCTTGACAGTAAAGTTTCTGCAATTGTTTAAAGCAAGTTCAAGGCTGAGTTCATTCCATTACTATGAAAGCAGTTTGGGGCAGCTTTTGTACCCCTGCCAGAGGAGGCCAGCATGGCTCTGCTAAGGGCCGCATTACTCTTGTCACATAGGCCTTCCCCTTCTGCTTTAGGGAGGGCTGGCAAAGCTGGGAGTCCTGCTTTTGTCAAAGAAACTGCAGAAGTTAGACGATGGAAAGCTAAGCTTTATCCAGGGAACAGACATCTCTCCCTTTTTTTACAGTCAAATTGGCACGACTAGCTGACTACAAGTGTGCAGGGCATTTCTCCCACACAGTATTTGTGGCCTCCCTAGCAAAGACATCCCGTGACTGCCACTGCTCCTTACCCTCCAAGAAGGCTTTTCCAGCACATATTCCCAACGAAGGAGAGGTTTCTGTAGTTTCTTTCAAGTGTTGCTAAACCCACAGGAAGAATTTCCTCAGTTCATGCTGCAAAACCAGCATCTGAACCTAGTCTGGTTGGGCTGAGGAGAGAGCGCAGTTCTCACCTAAGCGCCTTTGATGGGGGCATGAGGATGGAGGGGGACACAACACAAGGATGCCTCTCCTCCCCACCAGCCCGACCCCAGGGAGACCAGAGCGCTGTTCATGCAGGTGACCTCTGTATCTTCTCCAGTGCCTTACGCTGCCTGGCATTTGTAATCCCTGTCAAAAGCCTCAGTGTTACTCCCCTCACACAGACACGGCAAAGAGCCATTTCTGGAACTCAGTAAAAAGTGTTTTGTGCATATGTGCACAAAAGAGGCTATTGGGTGACAGACAAAAAGAAGGGTGCTTTTGTTCCCCTACATGGGAAGAAGATACAGTCTGAGTGAGAGAGGAGCTCATGTAGGATAGAGCACGTCTGCCTGAGTTCTCAGAAGGAATGTAAGCCACCCACACAGTTATGTATATTCCCAAATTTAAAAAGCAACATCTTTAATAAGGTGAGAACACCAGCTTGCAGCTCCAGGCCTGGCCACCCCCACAGGCCTGGCAATGCCACCCACTGCTGTCACTCTCCTCTATCACACACCAGATGTGGCTGCATCTGAGCTTCAAAGAGAAAACAAAAAAACAAACAGAAAACCCAACCAAGATGCCCTGAAGAACTAGATGCATCAAGATGGAAACAGAGACACTCAGATGTTACAGTGGGACCTCATACCTGCTTTGGCTACATCAACACAGACAGCTTAACTGAGAAATGTAAGTTCGTGTTGATCATTTTCACACAGAGAGAAGTCCCTTCTTCACTCAAGATGCCTGCACGTTTCATGTACTGCCTGCTCCTCTCTTGCTCTGGCACACTCACGGGAAGTTGTGAGATCCTATCCTCATCTCCACCCCACCACAGCCTAGTGAAGGAGGCAAACACTAGCAGAGAAGAGTTTCACAGCAACCAAAGGCATGTTCTGCAAGTTCCCTCTCCAGGAGGCCTTTGAAAAGAGCCAGCAAAGAAAAACCACTTTGCATATTCAATTTCTTTTTTCTCTGCTTTTGAATGACCATTAGGAAGACCTGTCAACAATTTGCTGTGGAGACAAAACCAAAGGGAAACAGGCAGCAGATGAGCACAAAGTTGGCATTCAGCCACGCATTAGCATGGCTGCAAGGTTGCTATAGTTGCTTGAACCAATAGCTGAAGCCAGGAGCAAACCCATGCAGGTGATTCTCCTGATCAGTTTTGGGATCATAAGCTCCAGCAAAGACCCATTAGGGAGTCCTTGGTGAGGGGTCAACCTCACAGAGAGGAGGATGCTGGATTTCACAGATCCTGGGATCATTTCTGGCCATCCTCTGCCTCCCAGCATCGCTGACTCCACTGACTAGCCCCTTGGGGCCACTTGCTGCAGCACATCCTCTGCCTCCATACACTTCTGCTCTTTCCTGCCCTTCCTTGGTAAACATCTCCAGTTTGTCAAGCTATGGATAGCTTCACTGCTGGGCACTTGGAGAGGACACACGGCTCGCTGCTTAGTTGGGCCCAGAGCAACAGGATTTTTGAGCACCACCCTGGGGATGCTACCTCTGCTGTTCTGCTGTGTGGGAGCAGACCTTCTCTGGGGCTCAGGGAGCAGCAGAGGACTGCAGGCTTTGTCTTCTGCCCCACACCTCACCCTTCTTTTGAGTCTCAGGAAGGGGAAACTGTAAATTGCTACTGTTTGCCCAACACATGATATTCCATGGGTTTAGTGACTGTTTTCCTCTTTCTTTTATCCCTATGCTGCCCTCTCCCACACAGCATGCAGCAGCTCACTAAGCCACCTCAAGGGCTCCCCTCTTGCTCCTCTGCAGCCTTTTCTCTTGTTTCCCCATTCTCTTATTCTCTTTCCAAATATCCTGGTGCTGTTTGCCTTTTAATTTGAACTCCACACGCATACGTCCCTGCTTTACCTCCCAAACCTGGTGTTGGATGGGCTTTCCTCTCCTCTTGTCAGGAGGACAAGGGATCCCACGGGCACACTCCCCACCAAATGGGCAGCCAACCAAGGCTACAAATGCTCTGGCTGTGCCCTTCTCCCCCATGTGCAGAGCCTCCTCTCTGCCTCAGCGGCGCCCCAGGACTACCAACCTCCCATCCCTGCAACGCATTAATGGCTTTCTTACCTTTGACCGATGAACCTCCCCATCGTCGTCTTCTCCGCCAACCCCCAAGATCTTCCGTGTCTTGAGCCGGCTCACCAGGTCCGTCTGGCTGTGCTTCTTCATCAGCGGTGGGGGCTGTTTGGTTGCCATGGCGATGCACAAGCACTTGCCCGTTTGGCTAGAAACTGAATTACAGAGTTGGGAAAAATCAGGAGCGCTGACCCAGAGCGTCCCCCTTGAGGGGACCAGGCGCGAGCTGGTCCACGGGCAAACACAGCAGTGCCGAGCGCCACGCGGGGCTTTTGCCTGCTCCAGCCCACCCCACCGTGCGTGTGGTCAGACAGCTTCCACTCCCTCCCCAAGCGGCACAAAACCAGCACCCAACAAAGCAGGGCTTGGAGAGCACCAGAGCTGAGAGGTAGCCTCATCCTCCACCCAGGGCATCTCTCTAGAACTAGGGGTGTGAAGTGCACTGTGCCCAGGGCCCACCAGCTGCACTGATGAGCAAGGAGTCACCAAGCAGCTATCAGTAGGACATGTCTGTGCTGCAGACACCCCTTCCTTCAGGGTCCAGAGGAGGCACCAAGTGACCCGCAAGGCACTGCCCAGGACAGAGCTCCTGCTCACAAGTTGCCAACAGCTTAATCTCCAGGGAATTCACCTCCCAAGTATAACCAAAGCCTGAGGAAATTCTGTTCCAATAAAATAAATCAAAACACAGAATTTTTCTTATATAGCATCCAAAGTGACTGAAAATCCATCAAAGATCTGCAACTTAAAATGCACTTTTCACAGCTTCTCCAGTTAAACTTCTGCTCTGTGTGCTTTTATCCTCCTAATTCCCCCTTTTATCCCCCTAATAGCAGCAGGGAGAGCTTTGCTATCTGCTTGTCGCCCGCCTTGCTGCAAGGAACAGGAGGACAGGGCTGGCTGGCTACATGGTCCTCATGAAGGAACATGTCCCGCTCCTGTTGCTCCAGGCAAGCTGCACGCAGACACACTATGAGGAGGTCCTGTGTGCCACCATCTCCACTGCCCTCTCACCTTGATGGCAGATAGCCTTTCACTCTTGGTATAGTGAGTTTTTTTGTGTGTGTGAAAAAAGCAGGCAGGAAATGGTTTTGCCGTCACATGAAACTTCACAAGGTTTAAAAAACAAAAACTTCCTGTTATGCCAGCAGACAGCTCTTCATCTTTCCAAGCACTTCCCTTGCTGGCTGAGCGCTGGGGAGGCCTCGTGTTCGAATCGGTGCCAGGCTACAACGCAGCGCTTGCAGGCCACTGCAAACAACTCATCTCAACATGTCTGGAGACCTTCTCTGGTCCAGAAGAAAGAAACCTGTGGTCACCACAATCTGTCAAAGAAAAATCAGAGCAGCATCTTTTTAGAATAGCAGCCAGGAGCCCCATAACAGATACCCACTCCTCATCGGCTCCCTGTCTTTCCTTCTCTTCAGTCTTTGTGGCCAAAGGGAAGGTATCAACTGTGCTGGTGAGGCCAGGCAGGTCCTGAGCTTCAGGCAAGATATTTGACTTTGACTGGGCAAAGCTGGGTTTGCAAGTGGCTAGTGATGCAGGCAGAGAATGGCTCACCAGGGAAAAAAATGCTGGTAACTTGAAACTGGTAACAAAGAGATAAAAGGGGCAGACAAATGGCTTAACAGTCACATTTAGCCTTAATGGCAACAGCCCAGTAAAACAGAGTCTCTGGATTTCCATCTGTCCCACCACCTGTCCCTTTGCAATTGTCTTCCCTCTTTCATGAAGCAGGGCAACTATCTGGCTTCATTTTTCCACAAAGACACATGCAGTGCCTGCTAAGAAATAAAAGTAGTAACACTACACGCTGCCCTTTTCCATCCACACAGTCATTAAACACTATGACAGCTACAAATTTCACTGACACATGCTATAGATGTTTTTCATCTATAACCAAAGTCCACCCTATCCCAGCATAAGGCAAAGGCCAAGGCCATCTAGGAATAGGTATCTCTTAACTATGTGTCCAGACTAGGAGTCATTAAATGACATTTTTCATCTTGTTCTTCTTCTAGTTTTATACCACACCCCTTAGTTTCAATTTTGAGCCAAACATAATGCAGTTTCCAGACATTTGTTTGCTTTCTTTTAATTTCCCCACCACTAGGATCCTGCAGCCCTCATCTGCCAGAACATACCAGCCCTAGGACTACAAGGAATCAGATGCAAGTTCCTCCTTGAGACTAGGCTGCTTTGTGGGAAACAGAAGATGATGGCAAACAGAATGAGGAAATAATAGCTAGGATAAGAATAAGATCAAAATAACTTTCAGAAGCTAAGGTAGAAAAGGTAACTTTTGTGTTAGTATGGTGTAAAGGAAGAGATGTCAATTATCCAGTGAAATTGCTCTGTAGGATCTTTCAACCAAAACAGCTTAGCTAACCTCAGTTCAGAAAGTCTTTCTTTCCAATGTATCTTACATTTCACCTTGGCTCACTTGAGCATTTTTCATTTGCCACCTCTTTATCCAAGAATCCCATAAGAGAACCTTCCAAAGGCACCAAGCAGCTCATCCAGTCCAAGCAAGGACAGAGCTCAAACACAGGCGATCTCTCACCCCAGCCAAGTTTTCCCATGGCTGTCCCAAGAGAACAGAAATAATGCTCATGTCAAGAGTGTTTATGGGTCTTCAGAGAGCACTGAAGTGAGAAGATATATTAGCATCATGCACAGAAGCATACTCCCACTGCCTTGCAAGGGATTTCCCACTCCCTGGAAAACCCTCCTCTATCCGATGGTTGTCCATCCAAGAGCACAGAACTTTGTTTCTAAAAATATCCAGAGAGCACCAACACAACTCCTTCTGCAACACAAGTCTATGAGGTTTCGTTGAGAAATGCAAAAAGACTGCATCCTGCCCTCAAAGGTTTAACGAAATGCTCTGAGCAGACCACAGGCATAACACATGAACAGCAAACAGTTAGTTGCTTAGGGCTTTGGCACAGGTTTTGTCTTGGCCTTTTAAACACAGGAACTAGCCCACCTTCTATCAGGCACCTGAATGTCACCAGAGCACAGTCAACTGCAGCTTTAGGACCTAGGAAAATTTTGGAAGTGAGACAACGGAGAATGACAACTGAAGAGGGAAACTGCAAACTGCAACTCATTCCTACACCAGGATGCATGGCAAGAAGCTCAAGAGGTAGCCACTTGTTAAAATAAAGTTGGGCGAATTAACTTGTTTGGTTTTGCTGACCCAGATTGTCACAATAACTGGTGTGCACTTATATTAACAAATCCACCCTGAAAACCTACAATGATGCATAAAAAAAGAAAAAAAAATGACCTCTTTTTAAATTCTTCTATTACAATTCCTGCAATCCTTTCCGTTCTTGGGAGGCCCCAGGATATTAAACTTGGATACTAAATGTTTTTCCACCAGAAATCCCCTGCTGTTAAAATCAGAAAATGGTATGTGGTATTTGCAGCTCAGCTTTTCCAATTAAAAATAACCTAACCAGTTCAACTCAAAAAGAACATTTCTCTTTCGGACACCTTCCTTACTCACCCTGAGCTACGGGATCACTCTGTGGTCCCCTCCACAAGGACCAGAGCCTTCAAACTTGCTGAAGGACCTGGAATGCTAAGTTTGCTGTTCACACCACACCAGTCTGACACCTCCAGGCGCTTCCCAGCAAGGCTGGCTGTCCACATATCCTGCTCTGTCCTCTTGGCCGCAGACTCTGGAGGAGCAGCGCGTAGAGACATCTCAAGACCTAGAGAATCCCTTAAGGTCAAGAGGTAAAGAAAGCTGGTTGGGGTTAAAGGAGGACTCAATGATTCGCAGACTAAGGCATAGAAAAACAGCCCTGGTTACAAAGGCAGTTTTTCCACTCTAACTACAGGCCAAAAGATCACAAGTTTGCTTTATCAGCTGTCTCACCAGTTGCCTTCAGGCCACAAGCTGGAAATTTATCCATCACCATCATTAGCACTGCTCCCCTATTACGAATTTCCACTCATTTGTGGCAAACCATTGGCCAAAAGCCAGGACTATGTAGGCCAGATAAAATGCCAATAAAGTGATCAGCGAAGGCCATTCTGATGCATAAAACCACACTCCCACTGTGTGGAGCACAGCTGTGGCATGGCCCAGAATCAAATCCTGCATCTCATTATCTCCATCTTCCAGAGAAAGAGCTGGTCTAATGAACACTGAATATTAATAACGAGCTAATACATGCATTAGCGTTAATTTAATGACAATCAGAGGATGCACAGGATTTGAAAACTTCATACTTACATTAATGTATCCTCACATACTGAGAAATTAGAGGATGTTTTCTATTAGCCCTGCGCATTTTCAAAAGAAAACTTCCACCTCCTCCTCCTCTAGTGATTCTTTTCTCCTTAATCTTTTTTCTGAGCATCCCAATGGCTGCACAGATCAATCACCACATGCAGGTGTTTCCTATTCCTACACAGTTTTCAGTGACGGGCAGAGCCTACATGCAAATAAAAGGGCTTTTTTTCTCTGAAGTCCCCTTTCTTCTTTTCAGTCTCTCTCCTTGCTCAGCTCTGTTCAGCATATTGTGTTCAGTTTTGAAAGCTACTGCTTACTGGTGCAAAGAAACCTCACTGGTGCCACACTAAAGATAGCTCAATCTCTCCCACCTCTACAGCTCTTCCTCCAGAACCATTGTCTCCTTCCCAGCCTCGTGGCAAAGGTATCAGGAAAGAAGAGGTGCTCCAGAGTGCAAGAGCGCAGGAGCGCTACGGAGCAGGGCTGCTGCCCAGCGGTACCCTGAGCCATGGCCTAGGTATGGAGCAAGGGAGGTTTCCAGGACAGCAGCAGCACGAGGGGACGATGGGGCCTGTCACCTTGAGCAGCAGCTGCACTGCGGCTGGCCCTCACAGCCAGGCTCATGCCCACTGTTTCTCTCACAAGGCCCCAGCAGCGGTAAGGTGCTTGCCAGTTCCTTTTTCGTCTCTCCCAAGGTCTGCCTGTCTCTTCTCTAACACTGGAAAGCAAGGGGAGCGCCAGGTCCACAGCACGCTGCACGATGCCCCAAGAGCAGCGCGGCCACTGAGATAGAAGAAACTCTTGGCTCAAGCACGTCCGCAGGGCAAAGGCAGATGTCAGAGCACTTCTACAAGTAGAGGACTAATCAGAAAACAACAGATAATACACAGAAAGTTATTTGCAGCCAGTCAGACACCTGTCATCTTCTTTTCCAAGGAGCTCAATACTGGATTATCTCAGCACCTCAATCCTTCCACACAACAGCCCTGTGCCTTAGAGACAGACAAAATCCCTGCTCTGCAAACCCCAAGAGATTAAGGATACAATCCACAGAGGTACGAAGTTCCTCAGCTCTTACAGACACCTCACTGTTACCTAAAGGGAATAGGGTCCACAAGGTTCCTTTTCCCCCCAGAGACTCAGGCTGCTCAAATCACATGTAGGATATCTATTGGTTAATGATTTGAAACACTTAAGCACTCTGAAATGCCTGATGGTTAAAGCAAACCCCACCTACATAACCCACTAAAGTACACACTGGAGAGCTGTGAAGCATCCCTGTGGATCTTATCCAAATAGCATACTAAAATTTTGTGCAGGATGCCTGTGCCAGAGACTGTCCCCAAGTCTCAGGTAACTACCAAGGGCTACCAATACATCTTAAAACAGAATCATTTGCATTTATTGCTAGAAGAACAGGATCCAGCCCATGCTCTGGATGAGGGGAATTAATTCTCCACCCCAGAGAATTGAAGAATTGGTCCTAGAGTAGAGGAACACTCTTCCGAAGCACCCAGGATGCCTCAGAGAGACATTCTGAGGTAACTTGATCTAGTTGGAAATGACTGGATGTTGAGGCAGTAAAAACAACTAGCACACAGCCACCACAGCAGCATAACGTGGCTGCCACTCAGGCTCAGTCTGGCACAGTCTACGTGCCTAACAGGGACGTTCCTCTCACCAATAGGAAGCCAGAGACACGGACTCCTCTCCCACACAGTCAACTGACTGCCCTTTCAGTCCCTTGGCAACACCAGCAGGAGCATCTCTGGATGAAGGTTCAAATCAGTGCAGGCACAG